CAGTGCACCCACCAACTGGGCCCCATAGCCAGACACAGACACACACATGGAGACACGCTGCGTTCACTGGCTTCCTCTTCTCTAAGTTGAGCCAGTGTTGCCAGATCTATTGAAGCTCCTGTTTACCCCAACAACCACCACATGGATACGCACATGCTTAGCACAGGGACAGGGATGACTTAGAAGTCCCAGCAGAAGCTCTAGGCCAGGGGTTCTCACCCTGGCTGCAAGTGTAAAAAGCAGTGATGTTCTCCTCCCCTAGAGATTCTGATATCACTGGTCCAAGGTGGAACTGGGCATAAAGATATTTAATGGGTAGCTGGAGTGGAGGACCACTGCTCAGATCTCTCCTGCCGGGGCACCTCCGGCCCTTCACTATGTCCCGTCCCACCTCCACCTAATCCAGCCTCCGAGTCCCTGGCTGCTTCTCAGGCACTTGAGAGGTGACATAGGAAGGCTGGTATCTCCTGGACTGAGTGACGTCGTGGGGGCTGGAACCTGCCACACTCACCAATCCACAGCAACAACCTGCCCATCTCAGAAGTCTGGGAGCAGCGAGGCTAGGGCTCGAGCCCCTTTATAGGAGCTCTGGGACAGCCCTGGGACAGCGCTGGCAGAGCCTGGCCACACACACACACACACACACACACACACACAAAACCAGGGCCAGTGATGAATGGGCTGCTGCCCAAGTCACAGTGACCCCAGCACCTCCCATCCTCCCTCTCCAGCTGAGCTGTAGCTCTCAGAGCCAACAAAGCAATAGGTCCGTCTGACCCTGGCACACAGTGGGTGTCTGCCAAGGGCTATGGCGAGGGCAGGGTAGTAACTCAGCCCTATTCCTGGGATTTGCCCCACCGTGGACTGAGTATGAGAGTAAACACTGCACAGAGGCAGTAATTCTACTGTTACCAGATTATTGGTTAGGGAAGCAGTGTAATACAAAGTTTAGAAGCCCCAGCTTTGGACCTAGGCAGGCCAAGGTTTGAATCTCAGTGTTATCGGTTAGTTTTATAATCGTGGGCGTTACTTAGTTAGATCTTTGAGCTTCAGCTTCCACGCTTGCAAAATGATAACAGCTCATACTCACCTCATACGGTTTTATAGGAATTAAAAAGATAATATATGAAAAACTGTTAGTTCAGGACTTCACATGGAATAAGGGCTCAGTAAATGGTAGCTGTTATTAAGGATGCGACAGAGTGAGGGTCCCAAACTCACATGCTGACACTTGCCAGGCAGGTAACATAAATGGGTGAAGTGGACACAATATAAGAGCTCACTCTCCACTTTATTAGAACAACAGCAGTTCAAGCCCAGTGATACACATGAACTAACATGAAGCCTCTTGGTCAGGAGACAATAGAGATTGGTATAAACAGGGACAACACTCCAAGTAGCCACTAATGGTTACCATGTAGTGAAATACATCCCATGTTGAAAGATCCCTCAATTTCCTTCTTCCTTCCTTCCTTTCTTTGTCAGAGAGACACAGAGAGAGCACAAGCAGAGGGAGCAGCTGGCAGAGGGAGAAGCAGGCTCCCCGCTGAGCAGAGAGCCCGATGTGGGACTCGATCCCAGGACCCTGGGATCATGTCCTGAGCCGAAGGCAGATGCTTAACCAACTGAGCCACCCAGGCGTCCCGATCTCTCAATTTCTTAAGAGAAGACAAAAATCTGAATCTTTGTGTGGGTGAACAATGTTGGAGCCAGTGTACGAGCCAGTGCTGAGAATGTGTTATGAACCTAAGGAACATAAGGAATATAATTCTGGATATCTGAGAGCCAGTGTTTTTAAAATACAACAACAATATGAAGGATAAACAAAATAGATCTGTAGCCAGATGCTTTTATGATCCATCCGTTTCCTCTTCCTGCTACAGAGGATCTCAGATCATGAGTAGGTCCCATATTTCAGGGTCTGAATCTCAATCATGGAGGACCAGAAATCGGATGCCCATCTTCTCAGAGACTGGTAGTTCACCTAGTCTACATGTCACTGAGGTACTAACCAGATGTCAACATAGTAAATTACACAGGGAAATACAAGGACTAGTGGTTGAATTTGCATCCCCCTTCCAGTATGAAGAAACCAGGCAATCACTTTTTTAATCAGAAGATTGTTTAGATAGCATGGAACAAAAACATTAAATGGTATAGAATGTTTAGGCAAAGGCTATTTCCGTAAAACTCTAGGCAGACCTGATGGAATACCCCACCTAAAAGAGACTGTCTCCATTTGTTCATCCATCTTTGTCTTCCTTTAAGTATTCAACAAATATTCATTGAGCACGTGCCAGGCCCTGCTAGGCACTCTGGATACAATGGTGAGCAAGGGTTTCTGCTCTCACAGAGCTTGTAGTCTAGTGAACAGATTGATCACATCCCCAAGAGCTAGTGTAGGTCTCCCTCTTGAAGTATGTGTCTCATCTCTCTTGGATAGGGACAATGGGGAAAACATGAGTTTTGTTGCTAAACAGGTTTGAGATCCAGTTCTTACCCTGCACCATCACTCGAGCCACCTCAGTCCCATCTGCATGCTCAGTGCCACACTCCATTCCTTGGGCTGAGAGTAACCTGAATCAGGAGATGGTTAAGCCTCCTGATACAAACATTGGATCAGGCCAGGCAACAACTTGTACCACTGGTTACGTTACCCCTGGTGTAGTTTCTAACACTAATGACCATGCTCTTGCTTCCAAATTCCTAGCCTAAGTCACCTAATTCTTGTTAACAGGTCTCTGCATTCCTTTCTCCTCCTGTTCTGTAAACTAGACACTACAGTGGTTCCCCGGGGCTTGCGTTCCGACTTGGTCTTGCCAGGCACGTGGGGCCCTTGCTATCTTTTAAGACCCCCCCCTTGAAGTGAATGCCTGCCTTTCTCTACTTCTAGGCCTCCCCTCAGGCCCCCTCTTCCTGTCCCCCAGATTCCATATCGCTGAGATTTCCCACTAGGTTTGTGCCCTTCCATCCCAACTCCTGCCAAAAGCACTAGTTCTTAATGCTGTCTCCAGGACAGAGTTAAATCTGCCCGCCAATCTGAACCATCTTCACCTGCACCTGGGTCAGTCGTCTGGGATCCTATTCTGCTACAGTGGTAAGGCTGGATCTCAGACCTAACCATTCCATGCCTTAGGATGACTGAGGAGGAAGAGAACACCACAAGGTAACAATGGGTGCCCAGGAGTGACCTCCGTTTCATTCAGCGATGACCATGGCAAGGAAGGCAACTATGACTCCATGTGTATAGCAGATGATGAACAGTAAATGCTGAATGAGGGTTATGTTCAAAGTCACTGCGCCATGTCACTCTGTCTGCTCTCATTCCTTGAGTTCTTGCTCTCAAAAAATACAACCATTGTTACATATTTTACACCCCCACCCGGATACTTGAAAATACTCCTCCCTAGTGCTTAGCCTGTTCTCACGAGTAAGAAGACATTTACAACCGTCTTTTAGTTGGCTTGCTGAAGAAAGGCCTACAGCAGTGCACCCCCTCCCATATCTTACAATACTCAACTAGATGCAGGCAAGATCATGGAGCTGAAATACCTTGGTTTTAACAAAGCGTTCAGCCAAATCTTTTGCGATACTCGTGTGGATAAATTGGTTAAGTATGACTTGAACAAAATCAATTGGTTGAATCTAAGAGCCCAAAGAATGTTGACTATATTGGTGCAAACTTGAAAGATTTTTACCATTTTACATCTTTAAAATGAATGGGATGGGTTGCCCGGCTGGCTGTTGGTAGAGGGTGCGACTCTTGACCTCAGGGTTGTGAATTTGAGCCCCACGTGTGGTGTGTTTACTTAAAATAGAATATTAAAAAAAAAAAATGGGATAGAGCAGTATATCCCAATATTTGATGATTTTTGGTTGTACATGAGGATTTTAAACACATTAATGTATATTAAAAGTATATATTTCCCCACAACCCTAATTTCATAGATATTGTTTAAAAATTGAGGCAATTCAAAGAAGAATATTTTAATAAACTAATAAAGATAGTGCTGGAATGGATGATTTTGCTGCTGTAATGTGATGGTGAATCATCAAGTCATGCCTATATAGCTATTAAAAGAACTGGCTTCCTGCTGTCCTGTGGGGCAGGAGACACCTTGGGAATCAGCAATGTCTGGTGCCAAATTAAACCCTATGGAGCTCCTTCAGCATATGGCTTGGGACCCTACCCAAAAGGTGAGCCTCATGTAACCGTGGTAACTGCAGATCAGCAGTGGACTACAGTGGGTCACGAGGATGGGCTTCAGAATAAGAACAATGAAGATGGGGAAATGGATCTACTCTAGCATTAGACACCTGAACCAGTGATATTAAATGCAATATATATGCCTGTAGCTTTAACAAGTAAAATGAGCCTGTTCCCAACCATCACCAGTTAAGTCCATGCTCAGGCTACTGAAACTCTCCTCACGTCTGGGACTCACTGAACCACATGGGCTATCACATTTCTCATTGAGAAGTCACTTTCTATTCTAAACCACCTTTTTTGCTCACTTTAACCTACACATTCAACCCAAACTGGGACAGCCATTCCAACCTGGGATGGTGATTTTGATCAGATTTGCAAATGTCTTGGTGGCAATCACTAATAGATGTGATCACTCTCATCAGCACAGACCTGAATCCAAACCAATTTTCTTTTACAGTAAGATGATGTGGTTTTTCAAAAACTAGGTTTTCCTTCTTTGCTGTCATTTTAATCACCTTGAAACAGACAGACCTTTCCTTGGGTTCTCATCTCCACTGCTTTCCCCTCTACCATTCCTGAGTTCAGGAGGAAAAGGGCTAGGCAAATTTAGTTCCGACCCACCTCACCCCTCCTCTCTCTAAGCCATCACAACTTTGTGAAGTTTATCTCTGGGAAGAGCTTAAGCATTTCCATCCACCCACCCACCCACCCTATTACCTTCCAAGAAGTTATGGTCAGGAACAGTGAAGGCTTTCTTCCCGTCTTACCCCAAACCCAGTAATCACATGACTACAAATTCCAATGTTTTTATTCATGGTTATTGTGATGACAGGGCTCATGTTTGGCAAGGGTGAAGCATGGAAGCTTTTCTTACAAATATTTTGTCCATATTCCTTCAAACTGCCCCAGTTTCATGTGATTTTAGCTGAGCTAAACTTTCAAAGCACCAAAGCACATAATATATTATATTTAGTTTCATAATCAGTAATTGACCATGACTTCTCGCAGTAACCAGTCCACCAACCCAAGTAACCTAACGTTTAAGTCCCAACTAGCTACTCTAAGGGGTTAGGGAAGCACATACACAAAAATACTGGGCTATGACTGATACCCTGATGACTCACGTAAGTGAGATGTGTCTAACTACACATAACACACGTTTCAAAAGACAGGCCAACAAAGCCTAAGGTTTTTATTTCTCCAACTAGTATTTCTGATTCTCTGATGCTGTACTTTAAAATCGTCAGAGTCCACAAAAACAGCATTCAGACTTCCTATATCCAGAGAAAGGAGTCCAGAAGCCAGGAGAGGTCAGGCCCCAAGCTATTTTCCAGTGAGAAACATGGCAGACATTTCTCTGTGAGTCTGTGTCAGCTTTTAACTTAACTGAAATGCCTTTATGCTCTCCACCATCCCCCAGCCTTTTTCCACGGGATCTATGACAGGAAAACACTCATCTTTCACATATACAATTCCATGGGGTGACGGGTGGGGGGGGGCGTTATGCAGGCACCAGCCAAAATTTTATTCAGCCAGAAAATGGATTTTTGACTCAGTTTAATGGCAAAGAGATTTGCAAAACCACGAGGAGTGTCCTGGCTTTTCCTCGAGGTGAGCTGGGCGGGATTTTTGTGAGTGGAAGCATTGCCATAAGAAAGGCAGATTAAGTTCTATAAAAAATAAAGTTGCTCCTATCTCCACGAGTAGTATATAAGCTGCTTCCAAGAATCCAGGGATGCCCACATCCCACACCTCATCCAGTCATGGCCAATCCCTCATGCACAGCTACATAAAACCCTTTTGTAAACTTTTTTTTTTTTTTTGGTGGGGGGAGGGCTTGGGAAAGAAAGATGTAAGATGAATTTTTTTAATTCCCTCCCACCACCAAAAACTATGTATCTACACACACACTAAGACACACATACATATCCAATTTTAAGAAAGTTTTTCTTCCCTATGACTACAGGATCCCAAAACCCAGCCTCCCTCAGGTTGAGAGACAGTGCCTATTAACTGCCCAGATCTGGTGTACCAACATACTGTATAAGGCTCCCGAGTGGTCTCACAGACGGAGTGGACACTCATGGGGGGTTTGCTTTTTGTCTTAAATCCACTCTACTCGGCCACACTCTTAGGTCCAAGGGCTGGGAGAGGCTCTGTAGGCAGGACGTGGTGGATGACCTGATGGTCCCAGCCCACTGTGGTAAGGAGAGAATGATTGAGCGGGGACCAAGTAGCATCTCTCACAAAGTCTCTATGGGCTCGGCTTCTAAACCTAGAAAAGAGAAAAGGTAAGTTAGGGCACGGTGAGAGACAAGAGGAAAAAGCAGACTTGGAGGAGAGAATCCAACACAACCAGGGCACCTTTGTGGATGTGTGACACAAACTTCACCGTATGTGTGGCCTTGCCACCACGGTAGCAGTGTACTTATCCACACAGAACTTCATCAATCATTCAATCCAGTGCTCTCATTTCATAAAGAAATGGTGGCTAGAGCAAGGGTCGTAATATGGGCCAGGATCAGAGAGCAAATCATGGCTCTCTCAGTGAGAAGGAAGTATTAATTCCGGTACCGTGTTTGCTGCCTTTCACCCCAAGCAGGTCGTATTTCACGTATGTGTTCTTTAAGTGAAAGGGGTAGACTGTCCCTTTCTGGAGACAGCTGCAACACCGGACTTGGAAATCCCACCTACCACCACACTCCCCCTTTACCAGGGACAGAGTTGGCTGTGAGTCACCCCCAGGAACAGGGAGAGTCAGTGTCAGCCTGCTCCCACCGCCCAGTCCCCTTGAGTGAGACCGTGCACTTTGATGAAGACAGAAAGGACCCAGCCACCCACAGCTCTTCTTCCCGATTCCTCATCATAGGACCCCGTTTCACACTTACACCTCAGAAAGGCCTGAGTCCAGCACAGCAAGTGAGCAGTCCTCACTGACAGAGGCCAGGAACGGGGTACTAGGAGAGCAAGGGGAGGGTTAGGACAGATAAAGCCATGGTCCCAAGATGAATCCTGCCGGGTCTAGCCCCCACCCCCCACCCTAAAGTGACCCAGAGGAGGTGGCCTGGTCCCCACTTCAGGTTAAGGTCTGGCTACCACTCAAGTCCACATTACAAGTTCCAGGGAAAGAGGAGGGAAATGGAGTAAGCCAGGGTGAACAATCATCCTGGCAACCAACTACCCCATCTGGTCCCTCCCTGCAGCTTTAGCAAGAACGCAGAAGCTTTCCCAACCACACAGTCTCAGAAGCCCACAATATTAATCATTCTGGGTGTTGAGCAGGAACAGCACCTTATTTTAGCCCTGTGCAGACAGAAAACCGTACTACCCAAAAAAGGACTATGGTCTTCAGAGATCGTTAAGAGTTCTGAAACTTCAGCTAGACCACTGTCTGCTTTAAGGAATGACCTAATCAGCTAATGCTCTGCAAACATAAGCATGCCCCAGCACCGTCCCATTCATACCCATCAGGCCCCTGGGGACAAAGGACAGTACCTGTGTGGGGAGAACACTAGCCCAGTGACACACTGGGAGTGCACAGCTGAGCTGAGGGCACACCTTGCACTCTTGGTGTCCACAAGGGAGACAGTTCCACTCTCGTTCCCTAAAGAGGAAGCCCATCACAGTGGATAAGAACATGGGCCCTGGAGTCAGCCAGACCTGGATTTGAATGCTAGCTCCTCAACCTTTTATGAGCTAACCACTCTGAGCATAAGTTTCTTCTTTCGTCAAATAGGGTAATTAGTCACTGGTGGTTGCAAAAATTAGCGAACGAGGCAGTTATTATTTTATCCACAAACTATGTCACCACACGTACAGCCTCCTGGCTATGAGAGCACAGGAGCTATCCCTACTCAACAACAGAGTTCCCTATATAGCAATCCACTTGTTTTGTGGTACACTGACTTCTGCCCATGCCCAGAATATAGGAGCTGGAGCACACAATCAGGAATCAAATCTAAAAAGTCATCATGTTTTCCAAAGCCAAACTAAAACCACCTTTGGATCATCCCACCTTCCCACTGGCATAATTCACATAACGCCCAAGTCCGCCACTGAGACTGAGTGGCCCGAGCCTTGTGCATTACAGGGTCAGCGTGCCCTCATCCTCCCCCTTCCCAGAGTCAAAATGCTGTGGGACAGGTTGCCTTACCAAAGACAAAGACTTCACTCTGCTGAGGATGCCAAGCCAGGGAGGTAGGAAGGTAGCCTGAGGCAGTGCAGCCTGCAGAGAGAAGAGGGACCCAAAACGAGACTCAGAGCCCAGCCCCCGTGAAGAAGCTTCTCAAACAAAGTCACTCCAAGTCTCAGAAGCACCTTTATTTGCCTTCCCAAACCCTGCTAAGGCAGTTGTGGCCCTGCCCTTGACCCTCATACCCTTATTTATCCTTCGGCCTCCTGTCCTTTCTGGACACGAGTCATAGGCAGATTTCAGGCATAAAGCATGAAGGCAACAATTCTGGCCCCCTTGTCCATCCTTCCCAGAAATGTAAAGTAAATCAGCCACCCACAAACCAACCCTTCCTCTTGGTACCCACAGCACAAAATGGAATCAATCAACAGAGCCTCAGTGGGGAAAAAAGTGATTATGTCCCTTATGTCACACTGACTGAGCATCTGATGACTTTGCCTCTGTCTCTGGCCAAGGAAGCCTCTTCCAGGTGGGTTCCTAGTACCACCCTCCCACCACTGGCTCTCAGACTTACCTATCTGTGATGCTGGCTTGGGACAGCGGGTATCCCAGAGTAAAATTCTGTTGTCCTAGAAGGAACAGAAAAAGAGCTTCACAGTCCAAAAAGCGGCTGCTGGCCAAGTCTCCACACTAGACTTGTGGCCAGAGGGTTGGAGTGTGGTTAGGAAGTAGGGAGGGAAGGAAAGGCTGTATCTCACCTCACTGCATGAAAGGAACACGGAATCCTTGTGCGGGGAGGCTGTGACACAGGTGACCTGCCCGGAGTGAGCTGTGAAGGAGAGAGAAAAGGGAGTATGACAGAGCAGAAGCCGGGGGCATTACTACCACACAGCCCAGATACTACCAAGGGAGGTGTGAGAAACGGGCCTTATCTCATGATACAATTTAACAAACTTTGTAAGAGATTTTGGATTAGACAAAACCTAAGAGAAAATGTTGATGGAGTTCTAAAACCTAGAAAGACTTGGGGAAGAAAATGAATTAGTAAAGACAAGGAATGAAAAATTAGGGGCTGAGCAAGAAGAGTGAAGGGATCTATATCCCAGAACAGCAATTTTCCATACGACAGTACACACACACCTCCAGATAACATACAGACACTTTCAAGGGAGGTCTGCACACTGATACATTCTGGGAAATAAACTTTTCCAAAATTCTCTTTTCTGAAATCGAACTGAGACGCTGCCAGAGTCTGCCAGTGCCCCTTTCCTGCCTCGGGCTTTCAATTCCTCTTCTCCCAGTTGTAGAAGGGACGCGCACCTCTCACCCACTCCACATTGCACCATGGTATGGTGCACAATGCCCAGGTATACGAAACCCTAAGGTATTAAACCAAAGGGGCTTTTCCCTAAGAGCCAAAGAGCAAAAGAAAGAGCACCTGGCTAAAATTCAGTGCAGGGGCTGGCCTTGTTTTATCCTACCACAAATCACAACATACCACAAGCGCTAGAGTGATTCTGGGACTTAGCTCCGCCTAGCAATGAAAATTTTGAAAACTATGAGAGATGGTTGTCATAAGGACACATCTGACAAGCTGAACTGAACTTAAAAATGAAGTCAGACTTTTTCTAATAGAAAGTTAAGTCTAACTTGGCCAGCTGGCTTAACAATGCAGGGTTAGTTTTTAGCCAGTTAGGTTATTTGGTAGACATTTTTCAGAGATTAAAGGGGCTTACTCTGCAAATCCCGGGCACAATAATGATATGGCCAGAAAGTATCTCCTTTGCAACTATTTAAACTTAAGTTAGATGCCAATTTAAAAATGTGTGAGAAGGTAGTTTTTCGAAAATTTTTCAGGAGGCCTACATGCTAAAAACTTTAAAGATCACTGATCTATGTTAATTACAGGCTGTGGAAACCACATATTCTAAGGACATTTAACCAGACTACCTGAGATAGTCCGAATATGGCTCTGCCCAAGACAAGAAGATGTAATCAAACCACCCTTTATAGTTCTTTCCTAGCCCTAGAATCCATGGAAAGCCAACACAATGAAAAGGAATTGATTGCGCACTTGAAAGCAAAGCTCAGAGACAAGTACCTAGGGAAAATACAAAAGATAAAGTGGTTCCTCTGCCCTCAAGGGATCTGCAGTTCAGTGGGGGGGAAAAAGACAGAATACAAAGAACTAATGAAAAAAGATGAACGGAGGAAGTGCTGAAAGGGTTAGGGCAGACCAGGAACACTCTTTATAGGCCTAAGAAACAAAAGGCATGTGTAGTAGACTCCACATTGGCATTTTAACATTGTTGGACCATTTACAAGTCTTGAACACTGAAGGTCCGAGATCTTTAGGAGTTTGTGATTTTTGCTTTGGCACATATGTGAACCATACACTTTGCAGTTAGAATTGGCAGGGAATGGCACTTAGCCATTGAGTGAACCAGTGATCATCGAACATCTACATCTCTTAGCCACACAATAAATGCTCCAGGTATTATCTTTATGAAGAATGGCTCCCAGAATAAAGTCGGCTGCTACTGCTGTTAATGAAAATGAGTAAAAAAAAAAAAAAAAAAGTAACATTAATAGAAAGTGATGGCTCTCACCAGAAAAATAGAAATTTTATGGAGGTGAATATTCAAAAGTTCAAGATTCACAAGTCTCAGGGTTTATTCTTGGAGAATGTCAAGGATCTACTATGATTGGTTCTAATTAGAGCAGTATGTTTGAAGGGGGAGTGAAAGAAGGGCTTGAACGCCATGACAAGAAAATGGGATATTAACCCACAAGCCACACAAACCATGAAAGATGAGGGACTGCAGATGGACAGATGAGGTGAGTGCCACCATCTGTGCGAAGTAAAACCTGAAAGCAAAAGGGAGCATCAGAAATGGAAAGGGAAACCACTGACCAAGTGGTAAAAGACTCCAAAGAACTCTGGGACCCACTGATAGTGAGGAAGCAGGAGGGGTGGAAAAGGACTGAGAGCTGGAGTCTCATGTGGCCAAGAAGATGGTGAGGCCATTACTGGAAATTGGGAAATTAAGAAAAGGCAACGGATAGGTATTGGGGCCTGACTATAGTTTTGGAAGAAAACTATCAGGCAGAAGGGCAAGGAACTGCTGCCCCTGATATCCAAAGTTCAAAGAGCCCAAGGGGAGAATAAAAACAAAACAGCTAAGGCCAGGACTAAAAAGAACGTGCACTCACCCCGGTATGAACTCAGTACCATCTGCTGGGCAAGGTCCCAAACCTTGATGCTAAGAAGCAAAAGAAAACAGATCCTTAATTCTGACTTACAGTATCTACATAAAAACATGTGTTCCAACAAGAACTTCTTTTAACTGACATGTTCTATGTCATTGCCTACTGGGCTTCTGCTAGGGCCTATTCACAATGGATTGTACTATCTCTACAGAAATGTTATAGACATGTCATAATTAATCACTGCGTTCTTACAACACGTCCAAAACTACTCGATGAGGCTAATAGGATAGTAAAGACACCCAAAAAAGGTCTCAAACGCAGGACTGGGGCGCCTGGGTGACTCAGCCGTTAAGCATCTGCCTTCAGCTCAGCTCATGATCTGGGAGTCCTGGGATGGAGTCCCAGGATGGAGTCCTGTATCAGGCTCCCTGCTGAGTAGGGAGCCTGTTTCTCCTTCTACCCTTAACCCTGCTCGTGCTCTCTCACGTGCGCTTCTTCTCTCTTTCAAATAAATAAATAAAATCTTTAAAAAATAAAAAAAAATTTTTTTAATTAAAAAAAATAAAAATAAAATAAAATGCAGGATCAATGAGCACAAGGACCCACCAGAAGTCTTTGCCACCACTGACAGCTTGTATGCCAGAGCTCAGGACACTAACTGTAGACACAATGTCATCATGCTCATACTTGCAGAACTTGCTGACAATGAGTGTCTCGTTCTCATCCAGCTCCCACAATTCAACAGCTCCTGTTGGGAGTGGGGAGAAGGTAGAGGGAAATGAGTGTGGATTATACCAAGACTGTAATTCACTTCTAGGATTCAAGTGAGTCCACAGTCACTAAACTAACAAAGTAAGCTATTCCTATAAAAGCAAAACCCATTATCACTACAGGATTTAGCTAATTTCCAAGCCATCTGGCTTTATGCTGGCATGACTGTCTTCTTAATAACAGTCCAGACAATTAGGCCAGGGAAAGCTTCTAGAAAGACAGAGAAAGATGGAATGGCTGGCAAAACCCATTATCTGGCTTCCATGAGAAAACACTGGAAAATAAGTCCCAAGAGACAAGGATTAAAGTCTCAATAATCTGTGTAGTACATAGTCCAGCGTGGTTAAATCTTCCCAATTGCTTTGGATTTGTTGAACAATTTGCTTAAATGCCTTATAGCTTCTTCACAAATGTTGTGAATTACTGAACGTCTTGCACAGTGACAGGTCAAGTACAGAGAACCCCCAAAAGTTGTCTTGAATATGTTGTGCTGAAGCTCAAATGTCAGAGGCTCAGTCTTTAATGTCCCACTTTTATCTTTCCATGCAATGCCTGCCAATATCCAAATACTGATTTTTTAACTCCAAAGACTCCACTGCTGAACCTGACTTTCAAAACAAAGCAGAATGAAGACATTTAAAAAAGAAGAAAACGGGAGGAGATGGAAAGCAGCAGAGACTGACTTAACCATCATCTTTAAGATCAAGATTATCCTTGGTCTGGGTTGAGGGGGGATACTGGGAAGGTTACAGGGAAGAAAAATGGTTCTAATCCACTTCTTAATTTTGTTAGAAATTCCCACCAGGCAATTAGAATCTCGGAAAGGTATTTTCCCGCTACACAAGAGCTCTCCTTCGGGCCAACACCCTCAAGCTCCCCAAGCACTGAGTATGGGGCAGTAAGGATTGAACACGGTCCGATCTGTATCCCATGCTCCATTCCACCTGTGGGGTTGTGGAGAAAGTGACTCACCTGAATCGGAAGCCACTAGGATACCTCTGTCCCCAACCCAAGTGAGGTCAGCCACTCCGGCCTCCGTCTGGACTCCAGCGGAGCAGAAGCCTTCGTTGGGGGCTGCACAAGGGTCTTTGAACAGCCAGAGGGAGCCAGCCCAGCAGCGGCCACTCAGGCTGGAGGCCCCGAGCAGGAGAGCCCCATCTAAAGGAAGTACAAGCTGTCAGCGCGGGAGGAGTGAAAGGGCTCGTCTCCATGGTGACCGCACTGTACAGCACGCGGGCCGAGTCTGGATCTGAGCTCGGAAACCCGGGGCAAAGGTGGGGACTGAATTAAGCGACGCCAGGCAGGGGTCAGGAAGGCATGCGGGGCGGGGGCGGGCTAGAAAGGCCAGTCCTGGGAAAGGGCATCCCGAGCCAGGGTGAGGTAGCTCCCAGGCCCGGGATCTCGGCTCACCGGACCGATACCGCGCAGCCTCCAACTGCCGTTCCATACAAGCGGGCGCATTAGGGGGAAGGTTCCACTCGCGGACCGCCGGGGGCACTAGGGGGGGCGGGGTTTCCTTCCGCATCTCCACGGTTCTATCTTCAACCTAGACCCAAGCGGGACCGCCGCCCGAGATCCAGCTCCGGCAGCCCCACGTGGTGCCCCTCTGGGCCTCCGCCCCTCTCCACAGGCTACGGCCACTCTACATCTCGCGAGAATTGCTTCTACTGTTCCATTCTGCGGCCGTCTGCGGCCCTCTGGCAAAGAGTTCTCCGCGTTGTGTCTCTTATCGCGAGAAAAAGAATTCGAGGCAAAGTCAGTGGACGAAGGGCACAATGTTCTCTTCTCGCGAGACTTGTGAGCGACCATCTTGCTCCCGCCCCTGACAGAGACTCTTGCCCGGGTCACTGGGACGCAGGACCTGCTGTCCGGACCCTGGTTAACCATGCTGTCCCGGGTGGTTTTTTCTGCGGCCGCCGCAGCGGGTAACCCCATCTACACCCTAGTCCGGGCTATCAGAGTGATTGCAAAGGAGTGCGTCTAGGGTTACTGGAGGGGGTGGGAGGAAAGGGGGTGTAGGAAGGTGCAGCAAGATTTGGGCCCGAGTGGGAAATGAATTGCGCCGCTCACAAGGGGCGCGCGTGGGGGTCTCGGGAGACTGGAAAGAGGGGTGCATGGCCTTAGTGGGCGGGCCCCGCGGGGACCGAGAAAAGGACAGACCAGATTTCACCTTGACCTTGCTCACCTGCGCCTTGTTTATGTGCAGCTCCCTGTCTGAAGAACGCAGCTCTCCTTGGTCCAGGGTAAGTAAGAGGGGTGTAATACTTCCTTCGTCCTTGTTTTATCACCTCATTTCACTTCTCTGTAACCTCCTCTTAGCTTTAGGCCCGAAATTAACTTTCTTTAGGTAATTTTGAAAGGCTTAAAGCTTCATTCAAACACTGGTGCACCTGTAACTGTCTGAAACATTGTCTTTACCATCTCATGGCAAAGACTAAGAGGGTAAATGATGTGTTCTAACTAAATTAGGAGCTGGTTTTGGTGTCTTCTAAGCCCTGCCCCTTTTCCTTGTGACCTTCATCTGGACTTAGCTGCCGGCTGCCACAGCGGGAATCGGAGTTTCTGGATTGCATACCCAAAAGCAAGTTTTATTAAATAAAATAATGAAGCATGTTATTTTTATAACATGTCTGTCTCCCAGATGCCGACTTTTACTGCCAGATCATAAGAGTCAGAGAAATCATTCATTGATTCAGTAAATATTTATCTTGCCACTTACATGACAAAAGATAGAAAAATAAGTAAGGCTAACCTGTTTTCCAGTGGAGCTCAGTCTCTTGAGAGGAGGCAGCTATAGAGTAGTGCTTTAGAGCAAAGACTCTAAAGCTAGAGTTATACCTGGTTCCTCCACTAGAAGTTGTGTGACCTCAGTTTCCTCCTCTACAAAATGGAGATAATAGTATATTATGGTTAGGAGAACTAAGACTTAATTCCTGTAAAACTCTAAAAACAGCATTCCATATATAATACATAGTATGTGATAAGTGTTGACGTCTGTTTTTAATGTTTCATAAATCATGTTAGTTTTCTTTGGAATTTCTCTTTTTGCATCCAGACTTAGCCCTAAATCTTGCCAAAATTTGACAACTCTTTTTGCCTTGAAAAAATGGCTTTTAATCCACCTGTAATTAATTTTTGTGTGCAATAAAGTGAGGCTACAATTGCTTCCAACTTACCAGAGAAAAAAGATTCCATACAGACAGGTAAACAATTTTAATAGAAGTCATAAATAAATAAATAAATAGATATGTAAGATGTAAGGAACATACTTGATTTCTGTTTCACCTTCCATATCTAATATATGGAGAAGAGCAAGGCTCTTCCACCAAATTATATCTGGACTTATAACCATTCTTCCACTACCACTGCTACTGAAGTGTGAACCACCATCAACTTTCACCTGGTCTATTTCAGTAGTCTCTTAACTAGTCTCCTTGCATCTCTATTCTTGTCCCATTATAGCCCATTCTCCTAGTAGATTTAGGGATTACTTGAGGCCCCCCATCCCCCACCCCAACAAAACCCTCCAGAGCTCCTCATGCCACTGAAATAAAATCCAAAGTTACCATAACCCAGAAGGCCCAACATGAATTGATCTCCTCCTACCTCTTAATTTATCTCCTTATATTCTTTTTAGCTCACTCTCTAGCCATGCTGGCGTCCTTGCTGTTGCTGTGAAAAGCTTATTATTACCTCAGGATCTTTGTACTTGCTCTCCTCTCTTTTCCCCAGGTCACTGACTCAAATGTCATCTGACCTATCAAAAAAGCTTTTTCTCATTCCATTGCTCCCTGGCTGCTTACCTTACCCCATTTTTCTTCATAGACTTTCAGCAGCCTGGAATTGTGTATGGACATACACAGTCACACTGCTACAACCCCACTGGAATGTGAAGGCTGGGACCTTGTCTGCTCGTTGCTATGCTCCCAGCACCTGACATAAGGGTGAATGAATGTAAGATTGGGGAGGCCTTTAATAAAAAGGATATGCTCGAGATGTTCTGAAGGCTGTTGGGGTTGGCAGCTATTTAGTGAAAGCCATTCCAGGCAGAAGGAGCAGCGTGAGGCATGTTGTTTGTTTTGTTTGTTTGTTTTAGTTCCATATGGCTAGAGGATAGGAGAACGAAGGAAAGGAGCATAGAAGTTCTGATAGGTTCCGAATCATGTATACTATGTTAAGGAGTTTTGTGTAGGCAGGAGAACCTGTTGAAGAGCTTTAAAGTCAAATTTGCATTTTAAAAACATTGGTACAAGTGTAGAGGGGCTAGGTTTAAAGGGGTGTTTGTTGAGAAGCAGAGAGACCAGGTTTTGGATTAAGTAGTTTAGGCCAGAGATGAAGAGGGCTTCAACTAAGACAGTTCAGGAGAGGATTTGAGTTGGCCTAAAGCAAGTTCTCTCGTTCTGTGATTTAAATTAGTGGTTCTTGCAGCACCTGGGTGGTTCCGTTGGTTGAGCGTCCGACTCTTGATCTCAGCTCAGGTCTTGATCTCAGGGTCTTGAGTTCAAGCCCCATGTTGGACTCCACATTGGCCATGGGACCTACTTAAAAAATAAAAACAAAGGGGTGCCTGGGGGGCTGAGTCGGTTAAGCGTTTGCCTTCGGCTCAGGTCATGATCCCAGGGTCCTGGGAACAAGCCCCGCATCGGGCTCCCTGCCCCTGCTCCCTCTCCCTCTGCCTGCCACTCCCCCTGCTTGTGTTCTCTCTCTCTCTTTCTCTCTCTCTGTCAAATAAATAAAAATCTTTATAAAAATAATGAAAATGAATAAATCAGTGGTTCTGAATAAATGAATAAATAAATCAGTATTGCCCTCCAGGGGACATTTGACAATGTCTGAAGACATTTTTGGTTGTCACCACTGGGTGGGAGGGGGGGATGCTGACTGGCATTTAATGGCATAAAGGCCATGGGGATGCTGCTTATCACTACAGTGCACAGAACAGCCTTCCACAGCAACAAAAAAATGTCTATACTGATGAGGTTGAGAAATCCTGATTTAAATGAAAGAATCTTGAGCATGACTCTCAAAAAAAGTTGGTGGGCTAGGTAATACATTGGGAGGCAGAAATAACCTTCAAAAGATAGAAGTGTCAGACTAAAATCAATGAAATAATATAAACTCTTACATTGTAAAGGGATAGAGGTAGAATGGGGATGTGTGGGACAAAACAGACTGAGAATTTGAAGGAGACTGAGCTTGGCAGCTTATATAAAAAGGACTAGAGGATTTTGTTTCATCAGAATTTTAATGAGATACTACACTGTAACTGCTAAAAATGCAGTCTTGGGCTGTTGGAATATGAGAATAGTTTACGAATCCATGGTACAATAATTCAAGCTCAGTAATGGCATCAGTAAGTTCTTATTTGTAGGATGAATGAATTGGTGAAGCTGTATTTAGAGTATTATCTTCGGTCCTGTATACCTCACTATAGTGAATAGAACCAGAGGGCTCCTTGTGGACCGTCAGGATTGTGAGGGAACTGAGGTGTTTAACCCAGATATATGGGCATAATGTATGTTACATAGAAAAATAAAATTAGAACTAATGGATAGATCGGTTTCAAGTATGTACACAGCAGTTCAGTTTAAAGATGAACGTAATTAGAGCTACCCAACACTGAAAAGGCCTGTTTCACACAGTGGTTGGTTAGCACCCCATCACAGAGAATACCCAAAAAGGTCAAAAGTTCTGGCCATCAGGGTGCTCACAACACAGTGGAGATTTAATAGCTGATTGCTTACATAGAACTTTACTGTATGCTTAGCACTGTTTGAAGCAAAAATCCTCACAGCAGCCCTATAAAATCATATTCTTCATTCTCATTTTACCTAGAGGAATTTGCAATTACAAAAGCTTAATCTAGTTGCTCAAAGTCAAGTGGCTGGTCTAGGATTTAAACCCAGATAATCTGGCTTTAAAGTTACGTTCTTATATGTTGTAATTCTAATAGTAAACATACAGAGTGCTAGACAGATGACCTTTAAGACCTGCAGAGTAACCTTTAATTTTGTGTAATTGCCGCCCGTAGGGTATTGCAGGCAACAAGGATCTTCCACACAGGGCAGCCAAGTCTTGCCCCTGTACCACCTCTTCCTGAACATGGAGGAAAAGTTCGTTTGGGGCTGATCCCCGAAGAATTCTTCCAGTTCCTTTATCCCAAAACTGGCGTAACAGGTAAGCATTTGCCCGGTGTTTGATAGTATGTTTAGATGGTATAGTTTATGTTTACCTAGGATTTTAGTGGTCTCTTACCTCTTCCACATACACACGAAATGAAGTCAGTAAAGTAAATTGTGGAAGTAATTCAGTGGAACAGTTGTGACTTGTCTTTGAAGTAAACGTGGTTGGGATTTTAACTTTATAGTATTGTCTCCATTTGTTGATACACCACATCCACTGAATGCCAGCTCTGTGCCAGGTACTCTTCTGGGCATACAGTGGCAAGCTGAGGTGGCTGCCATCACGGAACACACATTCTGTCATAGGATAGACAGTAAAGAAATGAGTAATTGGAGGATACATTGTCAAGTAATGGAAAGAGCTATGGATTAAAATAAAGCTAGGTAAGACAATAGAGGTTATTGTATATATACGTAAAAACAGAAGTTGGGCCATGTTTATCAATTTTTTCTTTTAAGAAGGCATACACTATTCTGAAATATTACATTTTTGTAATGTAGTCTGTTTTCACTTACATTATTTAATCCTCACAGCAGTCCTGTAAGAGATTTTTATTACCAAGCATAACTAGAAAATAGAGAATTTGTGGAGATTTATTCTCTCTTTAGTGACTGGGTTGAACTTAAACCCAGGCTCTCCAATTCAGTATTCTTTGACGGCATCCACGGGCCTTTCTTGCTCCAACTACTGCTGTGACTAGGGAACACTGGAAACCAAGGTTGTTGTGGTTTTTTTTAACCCTCCAGGCGAGTGGCCGAAAATAGCATTTCTATAATGGAAATTGCAAGAAACATTAGGGTCCTCAGATCCCCATGGGAGATAAAAATGTTACCTATGATAGGCTTTTTTGCCAGTTCACAGGTGAAATTTTTAATTTACATTCAAATTTAAAGTTTATATATTGGAGGCAAATTTTAAAAAGAGCTGCTGAAACTTTAGGAAACTGGATAAAATACATTTGAGACTGTTAACCTTTTTATTCTTGTAATAATGTCATAACATCCTTTGGTTGGTACTTGTGTTGCTCAGAAACACTATAAAATGCTGCCCTTTAAGGGGGCAGCTTTGTCCTTGCCAATATCTTCTGAGGCACAACAGAAAATCCTAAAGAAATGTACATGATGGTTTTGTGTCCTTTCAGAACTCACAGCCTGGTATTAAAGAAAAAGGTAGCTATATTTGAAGCATTATAACTGTAGTACTATAGGTACTATAGGAATTGAGAATCCTGATAATGAATTCATCCTTTTACATACATACTACTTTCTATTAGGGTTTTTTTTGTTTGCTTGCTTGCTTATTTCCAGTGTCAGGTTCCTGTTCAATAAAAATAGGCAGGAGTGGATAAATTTTATCCTGACCAGTATTCCCATTCAATAAATAATATATTTTGCTGCACAAATTACTTAAGCAGTTGTGCTAGACACTCTACATAATTTCTCAGTTTCATCTACCCTGTGAAGAAAGTACTGTTCCCATTTTACAGATGAGGAAACTAAACTCAGATAATTTATATTGCTCAGTTTCTTCTGTGTTGCAGAGTCAGATTTCCTGGAGTCCAGATCCTTGTTTTTTTTTCCAACGCTACCATACTGCTCCTCGGTGGGATTATTTATAAATCCAGCTACTTTAAATCAGTACATAACACCTTCAACTAATGAAATGTAGAACTTTATTTCTTTCCTTTCATATGCAGTATATCCATCATAAAATAACTTTTCCTTCTTTTAGGACCGTATGTGCTTGGAACCGGACTTATCCTATATTTTCTGTCCAAAGAAATATATGTGATTACTGCAGAGACCTTCTCTGCCATATCAACAATAGGGCTGCTTATCTATGTAGTTAAAAAATATGGTGCCTCTATTGGAGAATTTGCTGATAAACTCAATGAGGTAAGAACTGTAAACCTGATTTCTCATTTTAGACTGTATTAAAAGCATGAGTACCATCAAGTGAAGTTTCCGATGTTAATGTTAGGGGACAAGCATATAGAAATGAATCTAATTACAATGATTAAAATTATAAGTGTTAATGTTGGTCACTAATTTGAGATAAATTTTTTTAAATCTACAAAACTGTCCAGTTTTTCCATAGTTATGTTCATTCGATAAGATATTGCGTAGCTACTATGAGCAATTATTTTTAAGGATTTGTGCATTTCTCCCTGTATATATATACGTTTCTTGAGGGGTGTTTTCACAAATGAGGACTGTAACTTTGAAGAAGCATAGAATGAAGCTGTTTTTGTTATCCTTTATACTTTTGCTGATCTTTGTTGTAAAATCATAATTGCAGCAAAAAATTGCCCAACTAGAAGAGGTGAAGCAGGCTTCCATCAAACAAATCCAGGATGCAATTGATATGGAGAAGTCACAGCAGGCCCTGGTTCACAAGCGCCATTACCTTTTTGATGTCCAGAGGGTAGGTTTCAGAACCTTCTAAGGAAAATAAAGTTACTCATTTGTGTGCGTTTAAAACAAAAATTAGAGTTTTATGACGAATGGTTGAATATGTTGAGCATATTTTATTTAGAAAAGAGATTCGGGTGGGGCTTGGCAATTACAGCTATTTATATATTTAATATCTATCAAGTGGATAAATAGTTACTCTAAAATTAGAGTAAAAGTTAATAAAAGAACGTATGTTGGATCCACACAGAAAGAAAGTAGTCATAAAATTATAGCTGACTAAAAAATGGTACTCACTATCTAAGGCCATAGGTGAAATACATGCTGTGTGGTTCATGTATGCTTGCTATGAGGAAATCTTAACTTGACATACTTGCTATGAGGAAATCTGAGACCTTATATTCCAATTCACAAAGCAAATTCAGATAGCTGTAAAGCTTTTTACCATGGTCAAGGCATCATTAGATTCTAAAATACTTCATTTCTGAAACATTTTTAGGAATATGCTCAAGGATTTTTTGTTTTAACAACCACGTTGTTTACTTTGAGCCCCTGCTTTATGCCTGGTATTTGCAGTGAGATGCCCTTATATTGAAATTTTATGTTACAGAAGCACGTATGAAATGAAGAATGACATGCTAAGGTAAAATATCTGAAATGGTAAAGATCTAGGCCAGTATTTTTTAGTGTGGTCTTAGTACCACATGTATCAGTCCTCTTTGGTGCAGGTTTATGGACCCAGTCCAAGACTTGTGCGATCAAAACCTCTGTTAGGAGCTGTCTAAGAATCTATATCTTTAAAAACTGAACCCTAAAGATTCTTAAGCACATAAATGTTTGAAAACCTCAGGAAACTTTAAAACCTCTTTCCATACATATTTAGATTTCAACCAGAGAATGCTTCCTATCTCATACATGATATGTACACACAAAATCTGACTTTTGAAGATGTAGCTCTTTAATAAGAAACAGATGGTAGTCTTTATGTTTTTACTTATTTATGAAATATTTAATGACTATTGATTGAGCTCTTCCTGTGTGGAGACTCTGGTCAAGGCAAGTGTTTGGGAATAAAAGAAAGTCTGTCTGCTAGCCACGGGTTGAGAGGACAGAAAAATTATTGAGCAGATAGGAATGTCAGTGGTAATAAGTGCTATGTAGAACAACAAACTAGGAAAGGAAAAGAGATTTTAGAAGAAGGGAGTTAACTTTTATTGGGCAGTCTAGAAAGGCCTCTAATGTGTTACTTGAACAGACACCTGAAGTGTTGGTGCAAGCTATGTGGACTTGTGGGGAAATAGTATTTTAGCAGAGGGAAGAAAAATCTCAAGGGCCCTAAACCTGGAAGCTTACTTGGTATAGTCAAGGAATAGTAAGGAGACCAGTTGAAGCAGAATGGGTGAGGAGAAGAATCCAAGTAGAGAGTGGTCAGGGGCTAGACTGGGTCAAGTCTTAGAGGCTTCTCTGTGGACTCTGATCCATTCTCTGAATAAGAAAATCATTGAAGCTTTAAGCAGAGGAGTACTACGATCTCACTTGCCTTTTGAAGGGTCACTCTGATTGCAAATAGCCTTTGGTCTTTTAATGCCTACAAGTTAGCCAAGTAGAGTTGTTAGGTTTAGACTATTGGATATATGAGTCTAGAATTTATGGAATTCTGGAGAATTCCAGAATTCGAGGCTGGAGATTTGGGAGTCATAAGCTGACAGGTGGTACTTAAAGTTATAAGACTAGAGCATGGTGGAGAAAAACCGGTGAAAACACGGACAGTTCCAACGTGTAGTCATCCTAGTTATGGTCAAGAAATAAAGGGCCTAAGAATTTGCCATGGATTTAGCAACATGGAAATTATTGGTAACCTTGGTAAGGGCTATTTTAGGGAAGTAATGGGAGTTGGTTGAAGAAAAGGTGGAAGGGAAGAAATTGGAGTCAGAGTATAGACAACTGTCAAAATTGTCAAGGCATTTTACTCTAATGGTGGGCAAAGTAATTCATTGCTAGGAGGGGAGGATATAGGAATCAAGATTTTTTTAAAGGATGGAAAGTAAAGTTAACACATGTTAGCATCTGATAAAAGGAAAGAGAGAGAAGAAAATTGATGCAAAAAAAAAAAAAAAAGGGAGAGAGAGGTGCTGGAGTGATGCCCTTCAGTAGGCCAGAGGGCTTGGAATATAACGTGCAGGTGGAGGGGCTGGCGTCAACAGCTCAGCCAGAGTTACAGAAGGGAAGGCAAAGTACACGAGTATGGATTCAGATAGACTGGTTTATGTGGTGGTAGAAGTTTGTGGAAGTTCTCTTACTGCTCCCCTTTTCTCAGTGAACTAGGATGAAGGTCATTGCTGAGAGTGAAAGTAGTCAAGGAGATACTAGAGGCTTAGGAGAAAGACGACCAGGAGGGTGAATGGACTAAAGAAATGTACTTAGAGGTATTAAAGGTCTACTTGAAATTAATACCTCTATTTAACAGGCAGACCTATAAAGATTCTCATTACAGACTAGAAGATAACATTCCTGTCACTCTTATTAATTCGATATTATTCTGGAGATAGTAGCTGGATTCGAAAAGAGAAACAAATAAGAGGTATATAATTTAGGAAAGAAAAGGCAGTTATAGGTTACCTGATTATATAACTAGAAAACCTAAGAGTATCAACATAATTATTAAAATAATTTTAATTTCATTCAGGTGTCTGGGTATACCGTTAATATCTATAAGTGAAATCAGTACCCTTCCATATACAAATAACAGTCAGTTAGAAAATAAACTAGAAGAAGATGAATTGTCTAGGAAAAGATGCCTCGAGTGAATTTCACTAGAAATGTGCAAAGTTTTTATTTCAAAAAACATAACAGTGCTTGTGAGGTGTAAGGTGCTAAGAACCTTGTTCTTAGATTGGAAGACTCAGTGTTACAAAGACATCAGTTCTCCCTACTTTGATCTCTACATTTAACACATTCCTAGAAGGATAATACTTACAGCTTGGAGGGAGGGCATGTTGGGACTTGGACAAATTGATTATTAGTTAAAAAAAAAAAAGGAGGGAAGAAGGAAGGAAGGAAGAATAACCAGGAATATTTTGAAAAAGAGAAGTAATGAGGAACGGTCCTACCAAATATGAAAACCCATTATAAGACATAAGGAGTTGTAAACAGTATGGTGCAGTGCGTGAACAGAAAGTCGGGGTGGCCCAGCGGGGAAGATCTAGAGATCCAGCTAAACGCTAAGGCAGTGCAGACATGGCAGTTCCGTTGTAAAAGGGAGAGTGGGCACCTGTGTAGACAGAGGGTTGGTTTCTTAGCTTTGACTTTCTACTAAAATAAATTTCAAACAAATTAAAGATCTTCGTAAGAAAAGAAGCCATAAAGTAGAAAAAGAGAACACAAAAAAATACCTTTGGAGTTGACAAGGCCTTTCCAATAAAGATAACAAAATCTAGAAACTTATGTATGGTGACAGATGTTAACTAGACTTTGGTGGTGGTTTCACAGTGTATATGAAATATCGAATCTATGTTAAGCACCTGAAATTATACTTCAATTTATAAGAATTTTAAATTAACACCTCAATTTTTTAAAAATTCCATGGATCAAGAAGATGTGGTGCGCGCGCGCGCACACACACACACACGAGAGTGTTAACTGAGCCATCAGAAAGAATGAAACCTTGCCATTTGCCATAACATGGATGGGGCTAGAGAGTATTATGCTAAGTGAAATAAGTCAGAGAAAGATTTCACTCGTGGAATTTAAGAAACAAAACAAATGAACATGGAGGACAAAAAAGAGAGGCAAACCAGGAAACAGACTCTTAGCTGTAGGTGACAGACTGACGGTTAGCAGAGGGGAGGTGGGGGGGGATGGGTGGAATAGGTGATGGGGATTAAGGAGGGCACTCGCCGTGATGAGCACTGGGTGTTGTATGGAGGTGTTGAATCGCTATATTCCACACCTGAAGCTAATATTACACTGTATGTTAACTAACTGGAATTTAAATAAAAACTTAGAAGTGAAAAAAATAAAAATTAAAAAAATCCAGAAACTATAAGAGGAAAAGTTGTTAAATTGATCTCATGAAAGTTTTACGTGTAAAAATGAGCATAAAGTTAAAACGACAAACTGGGAAGAAGATGTGCGTTCCATGTAACACAAGGGTAGTTAGTTACCTTAGGAGAGACCAACATCCCAGTAGTAAAACTAGGCATAGGACACAGACCATTAGTAAATAAACAAATGTAAATGGTTTCTAAATATGTAAATGTTCATACATAAATGTTTAATAATGACATTAAAATTCCTATTTTTTTCTGCTTATGAGAATAGAGTAAAAGGTTTTGTAAATATCATCGGTCAGGGTTTGAAGTGATAGGCATTTGTGTTGCTGGTAGGAGAATGAAATGGTACAACTTTATGTGGAATGTGACAGTATTAATCACAGTTTAAAAGCATGGGCTTTATAGCTTGGCTCCTTGTATTTGGATCTTGGCTTCACAACTTATTAACTCTGTACCCTTGGACAAGTTCCTTCTGCTTCAGTTTCTTTGCTATAAAATAGATATAATAATAGTAACTATCCCATGGTATGCTTGTAAGACTTAACTGAATTGACACACAGTTTTTAGAATATAGTAGGTACTCAACATGTTGTTATTACAGCAAGTATTTTTTTTGTCAACTTTATTTTTTATTTACTTATTTAAAGATTTTATTAGAGAGCAAGTGAGGAAGTGAGCACGAGCAGGGGGAGAGGCAGAGGGAAAAGTAGACTTCCCGCTGAGCAGGGAACCAGATGTGGGGCCCCATCCCAGGACCCTGGGATGATAACCTGAGCTGAAGGCAGATGCCTGATGACTGAGCCACCCAGGTGCCCCATTTACAGCAAATATTTACACATAAGTGCAAAGACATATACAACAGATGCAGCATTATTTCTGGTAGAATTGGAAGCGATCTGATGTATTAATAGCGCTTAGTTAAATAAACTCTGGATTATGGGACCCCAGTATAGTAGAATTCAATTTTACTTAAAATTGTGGGTCTAGATGTCATAATTAGTAAAAGTGATCTGTGTGCGTGTGTATGTGTGCATGCCTGCCTATACCTTTATTTTGTTTATTGAATATTTCTGGGAGGGAATACAAGAAATTCAGGAAGATGGTGGCTTGTGGGCGGACTGGAGGAAACTCACTGTATGTACTTCTAAGTATATTTTTACCTTATGCTATTGGAATTTATTTACCACATTCATCTCTTACCTATTCATATTAAATAATTTTGCATAAAATACAAGAAAGTGGTGTTAGGGTATTGTAACCAACAGAATCCTCAGAGTGGAAGTGATCCTTCAATGACGCCAAGTTTTTCATCAATTCTTAATCTTGCTTCAGAATAACATTGCTATGGCACTGGAACTTACTTACCGGGAACGGCTGCACAGAGTATACAGGGAAGTGAAGAATCGCCTGGACTATCACATCTCTGTGCAGAACATGATGCGCCGAAAGGAACAAGAGCACATGATAAACTGGGTGGAGAAGCATGTGGTGCAGAGCATCTCTGCACAGCAGGTGTGTGGTGTTCTGAAGCTTCTGGAGTTGTATGGGCCTCTGCTGGTGCTGTTAGGATAGGAATAGCTGGAAAGGAGTCTTTAGCCTAGAGACGCTGGGGTCACCCTGGTTCATTGTTCTGGGTAGTGGTAACCTGGAAGACGCTGCACAGCTAACTTGATGGCTTTCCTCCCCCTCAGAATTTGGTCACCAAAGGGTCTCTTGTTGTGAGACAGCGGCAGATAGTTGAGAACACTGATTGTGGCACACTTGTATTCACAAGTTCCATCATGTGGGAAACGCTAACCAACATAGTTCATTTCTCTGTACGACAGACTGGATAAAGCTTTTTCTGAGTCCCTTCCATTCCCTAATTCCATGATCTCTATTCCATTTCCTTGTCCCGGCCACTTACATGATTTGTCTTCAACAGAAATGTGTTTTATTATTGACCTAAATTTGTTTTCTTTTTTAAAGTTTATATTTTTTTAATTATGACTTGACTTCTTCTTCCCCAAATATTTAGGATATGTAGGCATTTCTGATCATTTTCTGTATTACCATCAAGGACTAGAAGAACAGGGTCTACCAACATTTAGTGAATTTTCTTTTTTTCAGTAAATTGTCTTTTACATAATTTAGAAATGGAGAAAACACTAAAAAAAAATTATTCTTAACATTCCTATGTTATTAATGTTTGTTAGGTTGCTCTTTTTCAAGCAGCTGTTAGCTATACAAGCTAACATCAGTGGCACATGGTTATGGGAGTGTCTGGCTTCAAATTCTATATAGATTTCACTCATAAAAGGTGTGAGCCATGAGATTTTAACTAATTCCCTGGGTTTGCTTAGAATAAATTGCATCTCCCCAATGGTACATAAAAAATTCCTAGTAGTCTGTCATGTCATTTGAGATTCTGTAGGAACTTCAAGATCTTGTAGGAGCTCTCCTTTAAAATTACAGTACTTATACCTGCTTCTGTGATTTGGAGAGGTCTAACCAGATTTCTCTTTCCTTATCACAGGAAAAGGAGACAATTGCCAAGTGCATTGCAGATCTAAAGCTGCTTGCAAAGAAGGCTCAAGCACAGCCAGTTCTGTAAATGCGTCTATCCTGGTGGAGACAGCTAGAAACATTTGACTAAAGAAACTAGTCCATGGAACAAAAGCTTTCTGTATTGATGTCTACTGAAGTTAAACTTAACCTTTCCTAAAAATGAAAAGTTTGTTTCATATAGAGAATTAAAACAATCTATTGGCCAATGAGATGTTTTTCATCCTTCTTGCTCTGTATTTTGAGTTCCATGATCACTTTTGAATGAGCAGTTTGCTGTTAATAAAATTCGTTGGCTGACTAACGATTACCAAGTTACAGTATAAATTTGTAATTCTACCATCTTGCACTTTATTTTTTTTTATTTCATTGATTCTTTCAATATCGTTCTATATGTCCTTCCAGAAAGGGGTTGCTTTTCTGTTCGTAGAATTGCACTAGTCTTTTCTTTGATCTCCTGTTGAGTTCCTAGGTGTTCAGAATGGTTTGATAACTATCTAGCTGAATTCCTGGGACTAGACAAAATAGAAGTCTCCTACTCCTCCACCATCTTGCTCCTCCCACCCATCTTGCACTTTATAAGTGATAAGTTGAAGCTAGGATTTTCAGGTTGCATAATATTCTGAAATATTTTAACATTTGTCATATGGGTAAAAATTAAACATGTCATTGAGCTGATAATTTAGTGGTAAGCTATTTCTGGCTAACTGACAAGTTATAGGAAATTTAAAGCTTTTTTATTCTTAAAATAACTAAAGGAAATGTATATCAAATCACATTATTGGCTTTATTATTTTAGTCGTATGTCTGTAGAAAATATGGACCCAGTGTGTCATAAAATTACCCTAAAGAGGCCAGCAGGTAAGTCAGAAAATTCTGCCTTTCCATAGGTTTATCTGCATTTAATTCTCCCATACCTATAAAAGGATGTACTTGTACACAAAGGACAACTTACATAATAGGAAATATTTGAAAATATGTACCATTTGGTTAATTGCTGTTTTCACTGACTTACTAGCATTTTAATTTGTGTAACAGCCAATGTCAGGTCAGTATTTATTGGTGGCTAATGTATTCCTGCTATAGAAATCAGATTGACATCTTTATTGTTACTTAAAGAGGTTTTGCTAGATCAGCAGAGGTGTTCCAAATTATTTAACAAAGGATTTATAAATACCTAGTTTGTGCTAAGCACCATCCTGTACTGGTGGCACAGATAAAATTCCCTCTCAGAAAGTTAAAAATCTAGAAAGGCAGTAAGAATATATGAACAATAGAGACTTTAGCACGGGTGCTTTGAGAGTATGACGACAAGTACCATTTCCAGTAGTCGCACTACCCCTTTCTTGTATAGAACTATTAGTCAGCATTCAGTCAGAGAAGCAGAACTAGTAGGGTATAGGTTTATATGGGATTTGACTTGACACTGGCTAGTTAAGCATGGCTTTCCGAGGCCGTTACCTTTGTTTCTGATGTAGGAGCTTGAAGTCCAAGAGCAGACAGTAAAGAAGGGAAGATGGCTGTAAAGTGGGAGACACAGGAACAAGTAGAAATCGCAAGCACAGATTGAAACCCTTGTCGTTTTTATTACCTGGGACTTTGATGGTATGACTTGAAAAGCCTGGGTCCTTTTTCACCCATACCTTGTCCAAAGGTTAGAAAAGCTTGAAGGGTGATCCAGGGAAAGGTTGGGAAGTTGCAGGCCCACCTTCAACTGGTGAGCTGCAGATGAGCAACAACATGTATGAGCTACTAAATAGTTATTGCTTCACATCTGCCCTCTAAAATTGCTCAAGAATTGAATGCTCACTCTTAAGCAAAACATTCAGGGAAGAGAATTCTGGGAAGTAGTTCAGCCTAACCCACTTGACACATTATGAACCACCACAATAACTAGCCTATTAATAAATGTTAACCTGAATAAATAATAAAGCAAAAATCTAATCCCAAGAAGTCAATGAATATCCAGTAAAACGGAGAGAGCAGAAAGGTGAGAGGTCACAAAAGAAAAGCTGAGCTGGCATTTGAAAGAGGAAGTTAGCCAAAAGAATGAGGGGTTGGGTCCAGAAAGAAGGAGCAGCATTTGTGATTGTAGAGAAGCTAATGTAGGAGAATAACATTTTTAAAATTCAAGAAGTTAACTCGAGTGAAATGTAAGTAGGAGTTATATTAGGGTCCTTAAATACTGTGTTTAGCGGTTGGATTTCGTTCTGAGGACAAGGGGGCCAGTGAAAGGTTTTAAGCAGAGGAATGACAATTAGATTTTTGTTCCAGAAAAGGCACTATCAACAGTAGAGGACAGTTCAGAGAGAGGCAAAGCTAGCTCAGCTGCAGGGTCATTCTGCCAAAAGACATTGAAGACCTTAACCAAAGGCCTTGTCACTGAGGTTGGACAGGAGGGAATTGAGAAACACTGAAGGCAACATTAGTGGGACTTGAGTGTGCAGAATATGGAAGAAGGGAGTAATCAATGTGAGTCACAGCTTTCTTGCTTGAAAGGGAAGAGAATGGGAGGTACTATTATTCACTGTGATTTCAAGAAAGAGTAAGTCTTAGAGCCATGAAAGAACATCAGTGTTTCAGAAATGATAGAGAATTCCGCAAAAGAAGGAATAGCCAGTTACTGGAGGAAAACTAGGAGAGAGCAGTGTCAAAAATCAAGACTTTGGAGAGTTCCATGTCAGAAGAGCCACTTTTTCAGGGAGATTAAGAGGACTCAAAGTGCCCATTAGAGTTAATAGCTTGGAAGTCTCTGGCCCTTCTTAGAGTAGTTTTGTTTGAATAGCAGGGACAAAAGATAGATCACAGTGGTTGTAAAGGATTGAAAGGCAGTGGGGAAATAGACCTACATAAAATAATTTCCAGAACACTACTTATCCTCACTTGTATTGTCTACACACCTATTGGATACCTTAAAGACATCTCAAATGTAAGTTAAAAATAGATCTCTCAGTCTCCACCCCCAGCCTGCTCTTCACTAAGTCTTCTCCATCTCAGATAATGGTACCACCATGCACACAAGTTGGTCAGCCCAAAAAACTAGGAGTCAGCCTTAGTCCCTTTCACTTTTTTTTTTTTTTTAAGATTTTATTTATGAGAGAGAGCAAGCACAAGGGAGGTGGGGAGGCAGACTAAGCTGACTCCCCACTGAGCAGAGAGCCTGATGATATGGGGCTCCTAGACCCCAGGACCCTGGGACCATGACCTGAGCTGAAGGCAGACACTTGATGGAGTCACCCAGGCACCCCACCCTTTCACTTTTCTATCTAATCCATCAGCAAGTCTTGTTTACCTCTACTTTCAAAACTGATTATAAATCTGTCCCCTGCTACCACTGCCTAATCCAAGCTGCCATGTTTCACTTGGGCTACTATAATTCTCTGTTGTCACACTTGCACCCCTTATATTTATTATAAAATATAAGTCAAATCCTATCACTCCCCTGTATAAAACTTTGTAATGCCCCATTTAGAATAGACTCTAATTCTTACCATTATTTACAAGGTACTATATGATCTGGTCCCCAGCAATCTCTCTGACCTCATCTACCACTCTCCCTGTTCATTCTGCTTTGGCCACCTATTCTTTGCTGTTCCTCACACGTCTAAACTTTTCCAGTTTGCAGACTTTGCACAAACTCAGAGCTTCCCGGATAGGTTGCCACAGTTGGAAAATATGCCAGGAGATACTACTTCTTAATATGTGGGGCAGCCAGGCTGATCCTCGGGCCAATGATTTCAAGCTGAGAACAGCTTCATCTGGGGCTCCTCATCAGGCCACTTGGTCCGAGCAGATTCTGAGAACAGGCCCCCACAGTCCCCAGAACCAGAGAACCGGATAAGTGACATCCTGCACTCAGCAACACTGAAACATTGCCAAGAGAGAGTGCTCTGCCACCCGGACATAAGCAATAGTGGCCGGTTGTAGAGCACATGCTGCTTCTGTTGGGCAAGGGGCCATGGATGTGCTGGAGGAATTTGTTTACCTGTGTCCGAGGAGTATGGTGTCAACCCAAAGTGAAGCCTGCCAGCAGCCTGAAGAGGTGATAAGCCGAGCAGGGGTCCTAGAGGCAAAACTTCAGACCCCAGCTCCAAATCTCTACCTTCAAATTATCAGAAATGTATTTCTATGTGGTAGATGTGGTTTGGGACCTACCAACAGGCTGTGTGGTGACTGGCTGTGCAGTCTGCAGATTAGAGTATCATGATTATTTTTTAAGTACATGATATGAAAACGTCTAATTGAATTTGAAGTATTTTTGTATTTGCAAAAGAAATAGATTACAATGTCAATGAAAAAAAGGAAATGTTAGGTCTTTGTTATAAGTTTTACAGTGAGCATAAAAAAAATTTATTAATGATAATAATTAATAATCTGAAGACCATTCCAGTCAAGTCAGTCACCCTAATTCAGTGGCTATTCTTAACATCCTTCATAGTGAGATAACCAGAATGTTTCCTGATGTGATTAAAAATAAAGTAGACAATATCACCTATGATGTAATCTAGCCAAAAATAATTAACTTGAATCTATCAAGGCTTAAGATGGAAATTCCAGTTTCCAGGAACTGCAGGAGATAGAGGAACAAGATAAATGACACCAAAGGAAGTAATTAAGGATTGTGTTTCTCCATGTATTAGGTGTTAAGTGTTTTCCATTAAAATTTTTGATGGTCTCTGTTAAGGTCTGGTACCTCTTTTATATAACATTTATTCTAAAACTCTCTATTCTTTATTAGTATAAAATGTACCTTAAATTTTGTTTGTTGTTAAGAAATAAAATTAAGATGTAGATTCCTGGAACTTTGTTATTGGGGCGAAAACTCAATTGAAATGCAAAATCTTGTAACATTTGCTTCCAGTAATGGTAGACTAGGTAATTCAGACCAACTGTCCAACTGAAGAAATTGTTAACATTTGGATGAGATATAAAACATATCTTAAGAATACTAAAGCACGAAGAGGTAATGAGAAATTATCAGGCCAAGAACTGAGAGACAGTGGAAATTCAGAGAGGTGAGTTTAGGACTTGGGCCCACTTACGCCATGGGAGCATTTGCCAGTCTGAAAGAGATAGCTAAGAGACTAAGCTATTCTTTTGGTGACCTCACAGGACTAGAGGAGTGAAAGATGGAGTTCAGGACCCATTGAGGACAGAGACCCAAGTAAACATCACCACTGCCTACCACCAACACACACACACAGTCAGCTTTTGGTGAAGACCAAAAAATCCAGCCCTTCCACGGCCAGCACCCTGCTGTGAGCGGACGACTCCATGAACACTCAGCCCTGAACTTGGATTAAGGTGATCCCAG